AGATAGTCTATGCCATCAGCCCAGTTTAGAGCTTAGAGGCCAGGATAAGATATGCAGAACAAGCAGGGCACAGGTCCCTAAATGAGAAAGAAACGTTTGTTGTTGTGAGTCACTGACATCTTAGGCTTGTTTGTCGCTGGAGTAAAGTATACCGAAGCTGGTATGAACAGTGGGTGATTACCGAAACAAAACCTGAAAAAATGTGAAATTGTTTTAAAAGCCAATGCTCAGTGAACAACTCATTGGGAGGCTAGAAAATTGGCAACCCATGTTATATGATGGTGAAACATTTGGTAAAATCATTGCCTGAAATAACTTGCACTTAAAGTATGGGGGGTGAAAAGGTTTAAAAACAGAATGTGAGTAGCATGAGTTGGTTAGCATTACCTGCCTTTTAAAAAAACATACTCATGGGCGGGGATTCAGATCACTGGTGTCACCACCTGCCTCATAAGCACAAGGTCCTGAGTTCAATCTCCAGGTACCAGAAAAAAAAAAAAATCTTATCATCTATCAAGAGATGGCCCTTGATTGGCCTTTTTTTTCAGGTAAGGATAGGATAGAAAATTTAGGACCTAGAAAATTGAAAGTTGCAACATTATTTATCTAACTTTTTTTCTTTTTTGAGACAGGGTCTCACTATGTAGTTGAGACTGACCTGGAACTCACTATGTAGCCCAGGCTGGTCTCGAACTCACAGTGATCCTCCTGCTTCAGCCTCTGAGTGCTGGGATTACAGACATATGCCACCAGGCCTGGTTTATCTAATTTCTGAGAGAGAAAATTTTTAAACGTTTGAGGTAATGAGCTGGGGATTTAGCTCAGTGGTACTGCTGCCGGCCTCTCAAGCACAAGGTCCCGACTTTGATCCCTGGTACCAAAAAATAAAAAATAAAATGTTTGCTGTAAAAATGCTCTTCAGGACAATGCATGACTTAATGCCAGTCATCCTAGCACTCAGGAGGCTGAGGCAGAAGGATCATGAGTTCGAGACTAGCCTGGGCTACATAGTGAGTTCAAGACCAGCATGCACGTGCACACACATGGAGACTGCCTTGGCAAGCATGTGGCACATGTCTGTAATCCCAGCACTGAGAAGGCTAAAACAGAAGGGTCACAAATTTGAGCCCAACCTGGGAAATTTGGCAATTAGTGAGTGTGGGAATCATGAATATTAGTTGTAAGTATTGTTAACTTTAGTAACTCCATGTTTTTTAAGTTTCTCCAGTTTAGCAGGTGGTGCATTTCCTTTGTGGAATTCCTGAAAGTTGCAGTTTCTTGTCTCTGACCTTCAGATGTGTGGTTGTCTGGGTTACTACTACCCACGGTGGGTTGTTTTTGTTGAGCCTGTTTGCTCTTTTCCTGTGTGAACTTTCATTTACTATGGTAACCCCATCCCATAATAGTTTGTGTTTTTTTTCGCTTTAAAAGGCCTACGCTTGCTGGCAATAAACTTCGCCTTGATCAGACTCTTGTCTTGGCGTCCTTCCTTTCTCTCTGCCCCATCTCCACCCCGCTGCGCTTTCAGGTTTGAGGCACTGCTGGACAGTGCTCTGCGTCTCCGGCTCGCGACAAGTGAGACCATGTCTCAAAAAAAAATTTTTTTTTCCCCCCAAAAAGGTGTTGGGGCTGTAGCTCAGTGTGAAGGCCCTGGGTTCGAGCCCCTATACCACCACCACCACCACTACCCACACACAAAAATTGTAGTTATTGGCAAATGAGCATTTTGTTGTTTTAAAGCCAGGGTTTGTACTGAGCTACTTCCCCAGATACATGTGTGTGTGTGTGTGTGTGTGTGTGTGTACATACCTATCTATATTTGTCTGTGTTTTGTTTTGAGACAGGCTCTCTCACTAAGTTGCCCAGGCTGGGGTAGAACTTGCAATCCTTTTGCCTCAGTCTCCCAGAGTGCTCAGGGATTACAGATGTGTGTCACCATACCCAGCTGGCTTCTGTTTGTTTTGTGATCCTGGGGATTGAACTCAGGGCCTTGTTCAAGCCAGGCAGCTACTCTACCGCCGTGTGATATCCCTAGTCCATTTAGGTTTTTTACTTTGAAATAAAGTCCTTTTTTTTTTTTGTACCAGGGATTGAACTCAGGGCCTTGAGCTTGCCAGGCAGGTGTGGCACTTGAGCGACATTCCCAGCATTGAGATCAGGTCTTGCTAAATTGCTAAAGGGTAGGTAGGGAGCTAATTCTACAGTGCAGAATAAAGACCTTTTTATCCCTGAAGGAACAAGACTTCTTTTAAGCAGCGTTGTTACCTAGCAGTGACTATGTGCCTTTCATTTTTTTCTTCCAGAGGAAGGTTTATTGAGACTATCTTTCCTCTCTTCTATCTGTAGCTTAGTTGTGTGTGTGCATGGAAGGACAGGTAATTTATTTATCTATTTTATTTATGTATTTATTGGTATTGGGGATTGAACTCGGGTCCTTGCGCTTGCAAGGCAGGCCACCAAACTGCTAAGCTAAATCCCCAGCCCCTTTATTTAATTTTTTGAGACAGGGTCTTGCTTTGTAGTGCAGGCTGACCTTGAACTCACTATATAATCCATGCTGACCTCAAATTCATGTCTATCTTCCTGCCTCCAGCCTCTCAAGTGCTGGGATTACATGCATGGGCCACCATGCCCAGCGACCTTTATTTCTTTATGGAACCGGGGATCAAACTTGGGTCCTTGGGCTTGCGAGGCAGGAAGCGGAACCACTGAGCTAAATCCCCAGCCCCCTTTATTTCTTTTTAAAAAGATCTTTATTAGCTGGGTGTGATGGTGCATGCCTGTAATCCCAGCACTGGGGAGGCTGAGGCAGGAGGATCACTGTGAGTTTGAGACCAGCCTGGGCTACACAGTGAGCTCCGGGTCAGTCTCAACTACATAGTGAGACCCTGTCTCAAAAAAACCCAAAAAATAAATAAAAAATAAATTAATTAACCAAAAAGAAGAGCTTTATTGAGATACCTTTGGCATAAAATGTGTAATTTAAAATGTACCTTGCTGTTTTGGTGTATGTATATATTTGAAACAATCACTGTAATTTGGCAAATTAACGTATCTTGTTGCTGTTTTTAAATTTACAAGTCTCAAGGTCAAGAGACACTATATCTAGATCGATGAGATCCGAGGCTTGAGGTCTCACATGTCTGGGTAAGACTTCTGGAGTCTTCCCAAGAAAGGGCTGTGCGTATTTTGTGTATAGGATAAGAGCAGACCTTCACGGCCATTACCATGTAAGCCTGACTGTCACTCCACTTATCACACTAAGGGAGAATGTGCTTCTCTGGCCTTGTGTTAGGCTTGGCTAGTGGAATATTAAGAATTTGACTTAGCATTCAAACAGGAGCTTTGAAGGTGCTTACGTGGTATATTTTGTTTCTTGCTCCAGCCCTTCACTATGAAAGCAGTAATGACCCAGTAGGGGTCATTCCATCAGCTTAGTGCCAGAATAAGAGTACTTCAGGAGAAAAGCCAGTCTAGCAACCCAGCTGAAATAAGTGAGCTGCCGCTGACCAATCCCTGAAGAAATAAATTTGTCAAAAGACAGTAAGATTGGGGCTGTATATTAAACTTCTATTACATCCTTTCTATATCTAATATCACTTTGAGATTCCCTTGTAGTGAAGAATTGTTTGTGTGTGTGTGTGTGTGTGTGTGTGTGTGTGTGTGTGTGTGTTTGTGTGTTTTGGTACTGGGAATTGAACTTGGGCTATTTCGCGTGCAAGGCAGGTGGCGGAACCACTGAGCTAAATCCCTGGCCCTTATAGTGAAGGATTTAAAACCTCATTTCTAATTCCAGCTTATTTTTCTGTTTATTAAAGTGCTTCATAAAATGAACAGAATTATCAACAATCAACACAAGTTTTACTGAAATAATTACAAATAAAACACCTCTACTTTACAAATCACTCAAATAATGGAAGAAACTATAACCTCAACTGGAGATTAATATTAATTTAATTCCTAACAAATATGAGTCCCCAAATTGGGAGATTCAACCTGGTGAACTTAGCATGTGGGGCTACTTGCTAATACCTGAAAGCTGTTCCCTGCAAGTCATTGGGAAAAATGATATAATGTGAAACTCTTTATCCTTGGTACTTCAGTTTCCCTATCTGCACTGAGAATTAATCTTCCATTATAGAAGTTATAAATAATAATGTATAAAATGTTAAAGCTTAGCCTACTTTTGTGCCACAAAAAGCATTCATGTGTATGTTGTTTTTTGTTTTTGTTATTTTTTTGGTACCAGGGATTGAACTCAGGACCTTGTGCTTTCGAGGCAGGCAGTGGCACCACTGAGCTAAATCCCCAGCCCCTCATGTGTATGTTGTTAAAAGGTTGACTTTGTTGTTCTTGACATAAATTGAATATTATATGGCTTTAAAATAAATAGATCGATGATTTCTCTTTCCTTCAAAACTGTCTTCTGACCTTAGATTAATACAATTCATGGATGATGCTTCATAAAATTGTTTAATTGCAATGAGGACAGCTATCCTACTTGGGTAAAGTTAACAAATTATTTTAAGAAGTTTCCTTCATTCAGTGCTTCCATTTTTCAAAAAGACAGAAATCCTGCTACCATAAAGCGCAAAGCAATACTTATTAGACTTTGGTGTAGTGTCTTTGGATCTTGTCAGGTACTCTTATCATAACTTCCAAATGAGATTGTAGTTGACAACGGGCAATCTGGACAAGACCTCAAGGCATAGCGCCCTGGTGCCATCATAACAAGATTCAGCAGTGTTTATGCTGGGAGGGGGATTTAGAGTGATAAAGCTTGAAGATAACGTACAGATAATGTAATTGGGGAAAGAAAAGAAATAAAATGGTCCTGATCGAATCAGAAAGTTTTCTGGAAACATATTTTTTTTGGGAAGGATATGATTCTGCTGTCAAAGAGAGAAGTTTACAGAGGTTGATAAACTGACCCTTATTATTTTCTTTCTTTCTTTTTTTTTTCCTTTTGTAGCAGGGGTCAAACTCAGGACCTCGTGCTTGCAAAGCTGGTGGTGGAACCACTGAGCTACATCCCAGAACCTCGACCCTTATATTTTCAATAAAATGTGGAACACTTAGGAACAGTATTGCTAAATCTCTTCATGACACTTTGAAACTGCTAGCAGTAAAAAAGAAAAAAATCATAAATCAATTTTGGAGAAGCAAAAATGTAAGCTATGATGTTCTTGCTGTTTTCAACTAAGAAATAAATTAATCAGCACAAACAGACATGCCATCTCAATAAATAAAATCTCCTATAGTTAACCTGTCATTTACAAAATGAAGTAGGCCGAGGCTTTAGCTCAGCGGTTCGGTGGCCTGCCTTGCAAGCGCAAGGACCCGAGTTCAATCCCCGGTACCGAAAAAAAATTAAAAATAAAGTAGACGAAGAGGACAATTTTCTGTAGTGTATTCAGCTATCTTAAGACTGAAGCAATTTCAGAAAAACATGAAACATCCTTAAAGAAGGCCTGATTATTTCACACTGGTTGTGGCTCTTTACAAAGAGCACTGCATGCTCTATACAAAATACACATGGGAATAATTTTCACATTTAACATAGATCTCCTAAGAAACAAAGGAAAAACCACTCTACACAAATGTAACATGCAGTGTTTAGGGAGTAGTGAATCATCCTTTACAAAGAAGGGGCACGTGCCCTAAAATCATCTCAGAGCTAATGATTTTAGAAGAGCTAAAATTAAAAAATTTAAAACATAGTATTAATTTTAAAGTTGCCAAACTTCTGCTAAGTCCTAGGAATTCAGGGTGCAGAAGAAAATCTTCTAATGTATGACTTGCACCTGTCCCTCTGTTCTGGATGAAGGCCGTGGGTCAAACGTAACCAAGTCTTCTTGTTCTGGGATCCAGCAAAGGCCAGCCTGGTTCTAGGCAAAACTAAAAGCAGGTCTCATCAAAGAGCCTTTCCAGGACCAGTCCACCAAAAGGCTGCCATGGCCCCTGGGGCACGCAGCTGAGCCCAGGGCAAGGTAGTCAGTTTGTGACTGAGGATCCCAGCCTTGCACCATCTCCAAGCTCAACGCTCCCCCTGAATAACCCTGAAGTAGGCTGGATGCCTTGGGCCGGGCCTGGTCTTCCCCTGACAAGCAATCCTAGAGCAGGAAGCACAGGGTGAGTGGGTTAGGGTAGGCAGAGCACCATTTATTAGAGCCAACCTCCATCTATCAGATGCTCAGTCAGTGATTCTGGAGAAGCTCCTCCCAACAGATGGGCTGTGAAAACACCTCTCTCTCCAGCCAGAGCTCATAGGAATAGTGGAAATCTTCAGGTAGATCCAACCTCTGCCCCAGCACACTCTGTAAGCAGTTATCCACAGGTGAGAATTCAGAGTCCCGGGCTTTGTCATATCGGCGGCTGTTAAAAGCTTCAATGTTGGCCCTCAAGGTGCACTCTTCGGCCTGGAAGTCCCACGGCCTGGCATCGATGTCTGTGGTGGAAAGGGAGGAAGAAAAAGATGCACAGAACTGTGGAACTCACTCCTCTGCTACAGCGCATGGACTACGGGATTCCAACAATGAAACTGATCAGAATTATATAATAATCATTCACTTAGACATCTACTTCAGGGTTGGATTTTTCCCCATCTCTGATGTCCTATACTCTGATTTATCGTAAGAAAATATAGTTTGGGTTGGGCTAATAGTGGTAGCAACAAGAAAAATGTCATTTACAAGACAAACATTGTATGCTGTAAGGGATGGAGATGTAGCTCAGGGTAAAGTACTTGCCTAGCATGAATGATACCCTCAGTTTAATCACCAAAAAAAAAAAGCACCATCAAAATAAAAGGTTTTGCCGGGTGTGGTGGCGCATGCCTGTAATCCCAGCACTTGGGAGGCTGAGGCAGGAGGCTGGGCTACATAATGAGTTCTAGGGCAGTCTCTACTACATAGTGAGACCCTGTCTCAAAAAACCAAAAAAAAAAAAAAAGGAATTTAAATGGCTAATTGTACTTTATATCCTACAGAAATTGCATCCTGGCTTGTTATATGCCAGCCAGTCATATGTTTCCCATAATTCTCTGAACTCCTTACTGCAGCATTCTATAAAATTTAAGCAGATTACAAACATGAGTCATTCCCTACCTTAAAAATTATTAAATTCAATTATGAAAGTAACAGTTAATTCCAGTGATAACAAATACAATGAAAAAAGCTCTCCAAGATAAAAGTCTATCCAAACTCTGGTCAAACAGCATAAATTCTGACAGATCAAACAGATACTACGGCTCCCGATGTGAGACAACATTATGTGGGAGGTAATATAGCCTTAAAGGTTTATACTGAACTCAACAAACCTTCAGATTTAACTTTCAGCTTCTGAGTAATACCATGGGTAGAGAAATAAGGTAAATAAAATGACAAAGAGACACACTAACAATTAAATCCAGGAGGCAGGTATTCTATAGGACAACTGGCCTAGTTCTTCCATTAGTGTAGGGGGTGGATGTTAGATTAAAAAATGAATTAATGTATATAGCAACTAGATAAAATTTGTAGTCTTGAATTAAATTCTAACATGGAAAAATAGCTGGGAAAAAAAATTTTGGAACGGCTGTAAAAGTCTGAATATGGGCTTGATTTTAGATAAAATGAAAATGTATTAACATGGAAAGGCAGGAACAATGTTAACTGAAAAGAGAAGGTTATACAAAAAAAGAGAAGGCAGCTGGGCATGGTGGCACATGCTTATAATCCCAACACTCAGGAGGCTGAGGCAGGAGGGTTGCTGTGAGTTCGAGACCAACCTGGGCTACATAGTGAGTTCCAGGGCAGTCTGAACTACACAGTAAGACCCTGTCTCAAAAAAAAAAAAAAAAAAAAAAAAAAGAGGTTATAGGCCATTGCTAAAGCGCCAGGAGGTAGCCTGGGCCCTGATCCACCATGGGAAGGAGAGCCACACCTGCTCCCGACCCAGCCGCCATCGCTCAAGCACAGGGAAGGTAGCTGCGCGGGCGCCCCTGAACCCCCATAAGTCCCCCCCCCGCACTCTCAGACCTCCTGACTGTGCCAGTCTTTGGACCCACTCTGCAGAGGCAGAGGTGGTCATCAACAGTATTTTTCTGAGTTCCCATCTTTAAAGAAACATCTTTAAAGAAAGGGCGTGGGAAACCTGTAATAGAACGGTGTGGAGTTCAACCATTCAGAAGGTTGGGGAACTCAATCTGGGCCTTGCAGCCCAAGGTCAGTCAGTGTCATGGGGTTCAGCCATCAGCTGAATGACACCAGGGGACTTGCATCCTCACTGTCTGAGCCATTAAATGGTAAATACACTATATTGAAATTTTGTTCACTGCAGACATGTTCTGGACTGCTGCTTGATTTCAATTTAATTCAAATGATTTAAGGGTGATAGAATAGTAACTATCACAGGTGGTCAGTGTCCAAGTTGTGCTTAATCTTAATGTGTTGCTGATTGTATCAGTTCGGATAAAGCACTGCAGTTGATTTGATGAGCTGTTTCTCTGATGTTATGAAGATGAGAATGTCTGTGGGTCGTTAGAGACACAGAAGCTAGGGTGCAAATATATCAGGAAGATTTGGGTGATAACCCAGAGATTAAACCAAGGACAGACTTCCAGTTCACCGATGGCAAACAGTCGGGCAAATGAGGATGAAAAGGCCGATAGTGAACCACCAGGACACCCTGAACTCAAAGCACAGGAAGTAGCAAAACAGATCAATCAGGCTCTAGAAAAATTCAAAACAGAAATAATTTACCAGATAACCATAGAGATAGTGAGCAAAATAGAAGTTGGGATTCGAGACTCTAGAGCAGAAACTGACAAAAAAATAGATGAGCTCAGGACCATGTTAGAAGCCATGAAGGCCCAGCATAAGAAAGAAATGGAAAAAATAAACGCCCAACATAGGAAAGAAATGGAATCCATAAAACAGATTCAAACAGATATCCAGGAGATTAAACACTCCATTGAAAGTGTACGCAACAGAATAAAAGAATGCAAAGATAGGCTCTCAGATATAGAAGATAAGATTGCAGTCAGTGACCATGAAGAGAGGTCTCTTAAAAACAGTAAGGGATCATGAGAAATC